AGAGAATTCTTTAACGAATAAAAGGTTCAAAACAACAGCTTTTTTTAAATAGATTTTTTTTGTAACAATGTAAAAGTCTTTCCTGTCACTTTCAATTGAAAGCATCCTTTTCTGAATAAAATTAATTTGTTTAAAAAATAAATTTTACTGATGCCAAACTTTTAAACACTAGTGCATATATTATCACTATAATATTTAATTCAGTAAGAGTTGAATATATTAGTGATAACTGCATACATTTTCCATCAGTCTGTGTTTGAATGTTTCAACATTGTCACTTTAACAGAGTATAAGCGGGATTTGGAGAAAGACTTGATAAGTGAAACCAGTGGAGATTTTTCAAAGCTCATTGAGGCATTGTTGAAGGTAAAAAGTGTGATGCCTCCTGTCCTGAATCTCAGTTAAATATTTATCACCAAAACCAATTTTACTGTGTTGATACATCATCAGTATGTCAGTATCTTGTGCATGCTGTGCGAGTAATCATGCTCATTCTCTCTGTTTCTTTCTCTCTCTCTCTTATCAGAAAGAGAATGAGCCAGGAATTGTTGACCAGGATATAGCAGTGAGTCCAGATTTGTAATTTTAGGATGAATTGTTCCTTTAAAATATTTCAAGTGCTCTCAAGTCACCCTGCACTCCCAGGACTGCTTTCATGTCATATTAAGAGACTTAGTTAATGAAGGATTAACTGTGAAACCTATGATGTTGACTTTGCTTTGTCTGATATGTTGCACTGCAACTGCCCCTACTGAGACCTCTAGATGACCTCGGAAGCAGGATCCGGTTGTAGGGAGTTTCAGCTCAGTTAGATCACAGGGTGACAGATATACAAACCTTTCTTAGAATTGAACTCAGATAAGATGCATATTTCATATACCTGATTGAATTGTGTGATTGAAATCAGTATATTTTGATTTTGTTTTACAGACTTTATCTGAGGAGCTGAAAAACAAGAAACCTGCAGCTGATATTTGGATCAAAATACTCACCACAAGAAACCCAGACCATCTCAGAATTGGTGAGTTGCAAGTGTTTGTATGTGTGTTTCAGATCTAGCTATAATTTCAGGGACAAAATTGTTGGGAAATGTCTTCAGAAGATGTGGAAAACCATTCCTTATGAACTTTTAATCAACAAGAAAAGTGTTCATATAGACACTAACTAACATTTAGGGTATTTCAAAATTTGGTGCATGAGATGTGTCAGATAGTTTCATTATTACTGTTTTATATCTATTGGTGTTTGGAAAGGTTGTTGTTTCCTGTATCCTTGGTAGAGGTAATTACTTATGTAAAGTTATTGACACATTTCTAACATGCAAATCCTTGGAACATATCCATCTGTATTATTTAAGCCTTCTTGTATGGTATTTGTAAGGTTGACAATGACAAATATTTCAAATGTGTGTGAACAGTAATGTTATTTCTACTTAAGTGCTGGAAAAACTGGAGTTTGAGAAAGGCCAGACAGTGGAGGACTCTTTAGAGGGACATTTTAAAGGAGTCCTCTCTGGAGACCTGAAAAAGGGCTTAAAGACTCTAGGTAAAACTGGTTTATGTGTGTTTGAGGATGTATTAATGTGTGTGTGCTCAATGTGTAATGATCAATTAATATAAATCCACAAAGCATTTGCAATTTATCTCTTTTCTTTTTCTCATCAGTACGATGTATACAGAACCAGTATTTATTCTTGGCACAACGGATCCAAACTATGAAAGTACGATTTTTTATTTTTTTATTTTACAGATATCTTAATGTCATTTCAAAAAAGCCAAGTATTAATTTATGCTGCTACTAAATATTCTACTTTAAAACTTCTGTGTGCATGATCAGGTTTAGCCAGCATTTTAGGCACCAAATGTCCCAACTAAGAGTAAAGTAAAACCTAAAATCATCTATATGTTGGGCCTAAAATACAAAAAGGTTTATTTGAGGGTTCGGTATAGGTTAGTGGATAGAAAATATCATTAGCTCAATTTAAAAACAACAGAAGTCTCAGTCATCATAGAAAATGTTGTGTAAGTGTGCACACAGTTACAGTACTAGTATAAACTTACTAGTACAAACATTGTTTTGCATGGCAGATATGTATCAATTAAAAAATATTTAAGTTATTTCCTGAAATACAATATGCTAAATCCATGCAAAGCACTTGCAAATGCAAAACAGCAAGTTCTTTTAAACAACTTTACACGGATATTGAGATCACTGCTTGTTGATACACTGTATCATGCTCAGCTGTCCTTGTTTTTATTTTTGCTTTGAACCAGCTATAGATATGTGTTGACCGATACTCTGTCCTGTACTCTGTAGGCACCGGTGGTCCAGGGTGTGATGGTGGCTCATAGTGAGGAGGATCTACTGAGAGTTAGAGTGGCATACCTTCAGTCAACAGGAACTTCACTGTACACAGCCTTACAGGTCTCCACACACACACAGATATTTATAACCAGTCTTCAACATCATTTCACCAACATGATTTTTTTGTTTTTTTGATTTCTTGTTTTTTCTCAATAGAAGCAGTTTAAAGGTGAACTCCAGCAGGGTTTGTTGGCTATATGTCGTGCAGAAGATTAGAAGAAATGCTATATATGACACAAATGATAAACATTTATGTGCACACAGTGAAAGCATTCCATTCATTTTAATTGCTGTTAAACAAAAGCTTTGTGTCTGAAAATAAATAAATGCAGCACTGTCCTTTATGAATCCCTATGGAAGGCAATATAGTTTTAATAATACAATTTTCAACTTTTAAAATACAATTTTCAACTTTTTATGTCATTTATGACTTTTTTTCATGACTTTTTCATTTCAGAATTTTGACTTCTATGTCATAATTATGATTTACCAAAGCATGACTTTTTTTCTTATGTGGCGGAAATGGGCTTCCATAGGAATCGATATATATATAGTGCTGTCAAAAGATTAATCGTGATTTATTGCATCCAAAATAAAAGTTTTTGTTTACATAATATACAGTGCACAGCATAAATGAGTACACCTCCTCTAAAACTTAAAAAAATTCAGCAATTACTCTTTACTTACAAGACATGTTAGGGTTCTTTGGAGATTTAATGTTCCAACAAGCCTGCTTGATCAATTACCAAAGAAGAATGCCAAAATTATTCAGCAAAATAAGATTTTCTTATCAAAGTGATAAAATGTTGTGTTGCAAAAATGAGTACACCCTCCTGAAAGTTACTAAATAAAACTAAAAAAAAAGAAAAAAGTGTATAGGTTTAAGGCTATTTTTGATCAACAGGTAAGTATATTGAACCCAAACTTTTAAAGACAAGTAATTTTCTGACAATTATATAGCCCACTCAATCATACTCAGACTTAATGCTGGCAGCAGTGGAACCACTTGGGAGAGAACTGCCAGGTGACCTATTTCTTATCATAAAAGAGGACAATGGTACAAGAGGAATACCAAATTATTGTTTTAAGTGTGAAAATATAGCAGAAGTAGCACCAACATTCAAAAACAATGGACTTGTGATAAGGCTCCTGAAATAATCAGGTCTTCACTTTAAGTTTTCTTTTAGTGATGAGTGAATTTTTGCTAGAAAAAGAGCAGGAGAAATAACATGCAAGTGTCTCAGAGCCGGCAAAAGCTGTGAAAAGAGTGACACTTTATCTCACAGAGTATGACGCAGCATGCAGAAGTGACATGCATGGTTGTTGTCACCACTAGAATTACCTACTGTAGCCAAAGCAAAATAAACTAATTTAACCTCTTCCAGGGCCCATATTTACAAAATAGAGACTTCTGGGAATCCATACTCTGGTCTCAAGAGACCAATTCAATCATTTCGGATCCAAAAGCATCCAAAATGTTCTGGTGTTGCTAGAGGAGGAGTACAGACAGAAGTGCTTGGTACCCACAGTGACGTTCAGTGGTAGTAAAGCTCTTCTATAGGGATGAATGAGTGCTGAAGGTGTGAGGGAGTTGTACTTTATCAAC